GGGGAAGGAGGGAGGGGGGAGGGGAGAAAGGGGGCGTCAAAATGTTTTAAAGCTGACGCCAAATCATCGCCAAGAAGTTCCCCCACATCTCATGCGTAAATTTGCTCCAATGCATCGGAATCTCTTCCTACAAACAAGAAAGTACTCACTGCGTTGCACGAGACACTAGAGATGTTAGAGCGAGGTGAAGAACTAAGACGGTAACGGTAGCATTTATTCCACCTAGTAAACCCCTCAAGACCCCTCAGGAGAGTCAGTTGAATCGACTACTAGGAATAAAACTACTAACACCTATAAAAACTTTGCCGTCCCTGAGATCCGTTCGTATATGAATTGCTTTGGGGAACTGAAGACAAGTGACGTCGACCAACACATGGCCGCATGGCTATACAAGCTTTGTGCAGTATTCCTCCACAATCTAAACAACTAACATGGGAAATGCAAAGAATGATCAATCCCTGAGAATCAATTAACTTACTTTCACATTTATAGCCTTGGAAAAAAAGCCCTTTTAGAAACTTCTCACATACAGTACATTTGTACGGCACATCAACCTTGAAACTTCTGTAGTGCACTTTGTGACCGGTCCCTTCCACTTCTTCTGGGAGGACGTTACTTCTAAATAGAGATTTAATGTACTACTTGAATATTAACTTAGACGACCTTGGAAATTTAACTAAACTAGCCTACCGAGCAGATGCAAAATGGTTTAACCATTTTTCTCGTTGTTGTGAGACCTTGAACGCCAAGGCTAAATGCCTTACTGAGTCCTGAGAACATGCTCTTTCTTCCCTGACCAAGTACAGTAAATGCTGACTGGCGGAGGTGATTTTACTTAAGCATCAACTTCAAAAACAAATAGAAGATGCTAAAAATAGTTATCTGGCTGTTAAAAGTATACGAAAGTACCCACCGAGAAATCGTGCCCATTTTTCCATCAGGCATAGGGCTATCCATACTCGGGTGAAGCTCAGAAACGATATAAGCACCTTTGTAGGTATAAGTGTTATTCTAAATAGTATTTAAAGCAACTTCCTTCAGCAAAGGAACAAACTATAAGGTACAGGACTATGAGCATCCCTACCCGATTAGCTTTACAAATGATCAGCACTTTGTCAAAAATGAAGACATGACGTTGTTTCATCTTCCCATATTGATGACCCGTCGATTCGGCCAATCGAACCTCACAGTCTGCATTCAAACGACCATAATCCATTAGAGTGACATCTTCCGGCTGAAATGAGTTATTCAGAAAACATTTCACCTGCCATGCCGATGATTTTCACTACTCCAAATATTTTTGATGTCACTTCTGTGAAAAAAAGCAAAGAAAGAGAAGACGTAAGTATGACGACGCGAACCCAGAAAGGCAAATCATTGCCCCGGGCCTCTTGCGTTCCACTACTCAACTCTATTACTTGGATCAAAGAGAATGAGAAAATAAAAGCAGTTGATTCTGCAATGTGCAACGGTAGGGCTGTTCTGTAAGCCATAAATATAAAGACTTAGCCTAATAATGAATATCTGTTCTATTGTTGAGATGAAATACTTAGAGATCATTTTCATATGGTCATGCATATGTATACGGGTGGTTGAGGCAACAGTTCTTGAAAAGGTTGTCATGGAACTTTATTGACTAACGTTTCGGCGACATCGCCTACCTCAGAAACTGAAATGATCACAACAGTTTAGTATATCCGATCAAACGCCTCCGCGCCCTACTGTATTTCGAGACCCCTCAGGCACGCACGTGATCTGATTCTTGCTGGTGTGGCCTTGGTGTGCGGCGGCTCTTTCCGTTGGCTCTGGTGGAATCTGTGAGTGCCCTTGTGGCTGGGGGTAATTGGTGTTTCTTCAAGTCAAAGCCACCTCTGGAGGTCTATTTTCACTTTTTTTATTCTGGAAGCTGCCACCTTTCTATTCTGGAAGCTGCCACCACTTTTGATTTGTATTCTGATTTCGTATTTCACTTGACGAGACTTCGTGTGGCCGGGGTCGTTATTCTTGTACGAGCCACCATTCGAGGTCAATGTTCAAGGGTTTTTCGATTATGGATTCGCTGTCGCCTGCGGTGTTTCTTCAGGCCGGGTCGCAAGCTGCTCCCCGTGCTGCTAATGGATCGTCGATAAGTGTGATGGAAGATGATCGGATATCGGATGCTTTGCTCTTGCTGAATCAAAACAACTCCGTACCAGCCCACGTTAAACGGATTTTTGTTTATCTGCTCGACAACTTGCGAAAGAAGGACTGTGAGCTGGAAAGCTTAGGAAATCGGAAAAACGAACTTTTGGATGAGAACCCCTCCCTCAAGAAAGAGAAATCTTCTCTGAAGCCAATATGTCTAATGTGTGTTGTGAGAGTACTCATCTAAAAAGGCATCTTTTTGGTATCTTCTGACTTTGTACCACCTGTTCAAAGTTCTCCCGTAGAATATTAGAGGCAGAGACCGGTCATCGTTGTTGGTGTAGCGGAAAGACCGGATTCTAATCTAATGATAAGTTTACAGCATGATACACATTGTGTTAGTATGCTTTTAGAGTTTCTAGGTATCGAATGCTCACCTCTTTCTATTCATAGACTTGGTAATGCCAGTAAGAAATCACCTAGTCCATTGTAAATAGCTTTACCTGCGAGGGAATTTCAAGTTCAATTGTTACGGAATGCTTCACTATCGAGATTCCTCCATATCAAAGGAGTATTTATTAGGGCGTCTCTTACTAAAGAAGAGCGAGCTAAGCATCGTCAGTCTAGGATTAGTTCTTTTCGTCGAGGTAGTTCACTGTCACAGTTCACTCGTTCAAACCGGAATGAAATCACGTCGAATTCTTTCTCTCAATTACAACCGTGTTCTACCCAATCTTTAAACTAGTTGTTCCTTCTTGGACAGTTAATGATAGTATTTGCTGTTTCTTTTCCAATATAAGGTCCCTTCCAAAAAACGAGCTATGTTGATCTCTTACTATGTGATAATTACGATCGGCTAATGTTTTGTGAAACGTGGCTCAATACACCTCACACGCTCTGTTCTCTCATTTCTGTTGATAATTACTGTTCTGTGCGCTGTGATAGGTGCAAACGTCAGGGTGGTGGTGTGCTATTGTTAATACGAAACAATTCTAACTATATCGAGATCTTTTCTGATTCGGTTCACGAGGCATATGAAATTTTAGCCGTTGATATCTATTTAAAAAGTGCTAAGACAAGGTTCATTGTGGTTTACAGAGCTCCTACGTGTTCGTTGTTGTTTAATGAGCAACTGTGCAATATCATTGGTACTCTTTCTATATGTGAGCACCCATCAGTTGTTTTGGGAGATTTCAACCTCCCGGATATTGATTGGTCATATGTAGCGTTATCAGGTGGAAATACTGGCTCATCTTTTATGGATAATCTTTAAGTTCATAATTTCAAGCAGTTCGTATTGGAGCCAACTAGAGGGGAAAGCATTTTGGATTTAGTTTTGGCCAGTGATGAAGCCTTGGTGAACAATATCAAGATTGAGCCGCCTGTGGGTAGTAGTGATCACAGTAGTATTTCATTTTGTGTAATAAGTGAATACTGTGAGCCACATTCTACAGTTTGCAGAGATTTCTTTAATTGTGATTTTGTGGGGCTGAATGCGTACCTTGAGTCAGTTGCTTGGAGGGATTCCTTTGAGAATACTAACTCTGTTAATGATAACTATGAAATGTTCCTCAGTATTTTGCAGCATGCTATTGAATTACAGTAGCGCTCAAAAGTCTTTGGTGAAATGCTTTGACGCTTTTTCGTTCACAACTTTTTTCTTCTTGGACCAAATCGCGCGAAATTTGGATATGTTTAATTCGAGCATATTTTACCCTACCCAACACTCTTTGACTGCGAAGCTGCAATATCCACAGATAGAGCAAGGTGTTTGTTGTGGTAGCAGATTTTCCTAAAACTAAAGTTGTTGACGTCTGCAGTTATTCACACCTTATGTGTGTTTTTCTCATCTATTGTGTTCGGCATTACCGCTCGTACCCTTTAGACATGGCAAAAAGGAAGGAGCTTCTAGAAGGACCATCATTTGTATTTTCAGCTGATTTTGAGTTCATGCTGTTTAGTATACCTGGAACATGATCAGATTGAAGGTATATAGTGGCAAATATTCACAATACACCCACGCTCCGAATATAGAAATTTCGCATGATTAGATCCAGGGGGAAAGGAGTTACGACTAAAAAGTACGGCTGAAGAACCATTTCACCGAAGACTTTTGAGCGCTACTGTATATGTTCCTCTTAAGCGGGTTTATAGAATCAGTGCTCATCTTCCACCATATCTACAAAATATGATTCATCATCGGAGTTGTTTATTCTATGCTGCCAAAGCTTCCCAGGATTTGGGCTTGGAATAGATTTCACTCGTATTCACGGAAGTTTGATTATCGTCTAAAGAGGTACAACATACATTGTGAGAAGAAGGTTCTTAATAGTAAGAATAAAAGGGATTCTATAAGCTATTGAACAGGAAGCTTGGGTCTGTATGCAAAATCCCTTGTTTGAAGTATGACGCAAAAGTGGCAGTTTCAGATGTGGATTAAGCCAATCTGTTAGCGGAAAAATTTTGTCAGGTGTTCTCTAACAGTAATGATTCATTGCCGGTTTTTACTCCCGTGATCGTTACCCCTTTGAACCTTGGGTAGATGGTACTAGAATTTTTGAATCAATGGCCTGGCTCTCTTTCCTTAACACCTGATTTTGTTCCATCCATGTTCATGAAGAATATTGCTCATATTGTAGCGGAACCGTTAGCCTACATTTTCAACCAGTCATTATGCTTCAGCCAAGTTCCAGTTAGATGGAAACACTCTTTTGTGACACCTCTTTTGAAGCAGGAGCCAGCCTTCGTATTCCGTTGACAACTACAGGCCTGTTAGTCTAACCTCGTTTATTTGTAAATTATTTGAGAGGGTTCTCAAGAAACATACATATAATGGGGCACTTGGAGATGAATGGGATAATACCATCTAATCAGCACAGATTTGTCCCGGGTAGATCGGTTGAAACGAATTGAATGTATCAATGACTGGATGTGATGTGGTTTATTTTGACTTTTCCAAAGCTTTTGATAAGGTGGATCAAGCTCAACTTTTGTATAAATTGGATCAGCCTAAGTTTCATCCTTTAGTTTGTCGTTGGTTGAAGAACTTTCTCTCTTCGAGGGCTTTTCAAGTCCGAATTGGGTCTTCCTTTTCTGAGGTCGTGAATTTAAAAGCGGAGTGACCCAAGGTGGTGTATTATCACCCATTCTTTTTGCTATATATAATCAGGAGCTCCCATGTTTACTAGGAGGATGTGGTGTTGTTTGGAAGCAATTTGCAGATGACATCAAGGTTTATAGAAAGTTGGAAGGCAGTGATGATACAGAAAGGATTCAAAAGGCTTGACTGTACTTTTGATTGGTCATGTAGATGGAATTTGCCTCTTGCACCGGAGAAAACTGTTTACATAAGAATTGGTTCTTCATCTAGTATTCCGAATACCCATCGTCTTGGTGATCATGTTCTTACTGAGGTCTTTTCAGTTAAAGACCTAGGCTTCCACTATGACAATAAGCTCAGTTTCTCGGATCACTATGCGGCTATTTTCAAAAAAGCTATCTTCCGAACATACCAAGTCTTTAAAGGTTTAGCGACTAGTGATAAGGATATTTTACTGAGGGCTTACAAAAAGAAAATCCAAGATAACTTCACTCGAAAGCTGGTTGTTAGATCAGGTGATGCTGCTTATGGTGAAGTGCCTCGATCAAATTCAAGGAATAAAAGTTCACAATTGCACTGTTTATAGACTCGTAGGAAGGTTTATGATGCATGTATATTGTTCAGGTTGCTGACTGGTATTGCTAGAATCGATGCATCCAAATTCTATGCAAAGTTGGAATCTAGAACCAGAGGTGGACAAGTGAAAATTTCATATGCATCGCCAAAAACCAACATTAGACGTTACAGCTTTACTTGCCGAGCCGTTACTACTCTTATATCTCCAAAATCAGATGTGGCACTCACAACTTCCATGTTTCTACTTTTCAAACTCCAAGCTAAGAAAAAGCTCTTGTCGTATAATTAGGTTACATGTGTTGTTAGCGATAGCAATTGTTCCCACGTTTGCCTTATGCAACGTCTTCAATAAATAAATAAATAAATCTGAAAAAGAGCCAACCACCGTGACTTCGTGGATCCTCGTAAGCACCGAGCAACCGATCGTGGGACGAGGGTTAGCTGGGCTAGGGCTTCATAAAAATCACTGTGGGAAGACCAACCTTAATAATGCCCCAGTTCCCGCGTAACCAAAATGCTATGATGGCTTTTGCGATTGCGATTTCTGTGCCACGACCACCACAGTGACCTCAAACACATTCATAATGCTTTTGAATGCGGTGGGCTCCCAACAGCGATAGACTCTCTCAAAGGCACAGTTCACGAAAAAATGGTTTCGGAGATTTGCACATGGTTTGTATTCGACGCCCCCTCTGATCCCAATTGGGCAGGAATGAGGTCGGAAAACGGTCTGGATAGGGCACAATAAGGGGCCGGAGAGTGAGCCACGGTTGCCCTCCGCCCCTCGCTAGGCTGACTACGAAATCTAATTGCCGTTCACCACTTTCGCATTGGAGCGAAATTGGTGAAAAATCGATAAGCTGGTTGGCAAATTGCCAGAGACGGTCAGCTGGTCGACCGCCTCCTTCTGATACAAGTATTCGGCTGTATTTCTACTATTCGACTAATGTTCTGCTCTATTCCGTTCTAGTAAATTACTCTCAGCCGTCATCAAAAGGATCAGGCACAATAATCTCAAAGTCTTAATATTGTCAGTAGAATAAATAATATTAACGAAGAAGCCAAAATCAGCCGTTTGAGCGTATTGTGTGCAATGGCAGACATTACGTCGCATTCGTCTATTCGCCTGGAAATTCCCTTAACCGCCGTTTTCCATTATGATACTCGTCCAACCCCTTTTTCTCTTTTTTTTTTTGACCGTTTAAATTTATTTTTTTCGCTGTTTTTCGCGTTTTATGCTTTACATTGTCCTAATGTAGGCCTTACCTAACATTATCTGTTAAATACCGGATACCCTTAAATTATCGTGAACGGTGCCTTTAATCGATGCATGCCATCTGGGTGCCCTTGATTCTCACGTGGAGTGGTTTTGCTGTTTCGCTAATACACTCATCCCAACAGATACACCAAGTGATCTTATAGACCACCCCCAAAAAGTGCAATTCCTTCCCTGTCATTTGGACAAACCACACAATTGGAGGTGGTACATAAGAACGGCGTTGCTTGAGATTGACAATTATAATGAAACCTGGGTTTTTCAGACCCGACCTCTCCAGACATTTCCTAATGGT